TCGTGCACGACAGTAGGCTCGCAGAAGGCCAGAGGAGAACTCTCCACCTCGGTCAGAGTGCAGACGCAGAACAGGAAAGTCCGAGCCAAAGCTCCTCCTGAGCTGGAGACGAGCTGCGCGGATCCAGTCGATCAACACCTCAGTGACATCACCCTTGCTGCGCAAGGGGAAGACTGTGGTGTAACGCGAGTAGTCGTCAACCACCAGCAGGAAGTAGCGCTCGTGACCCTGCCCACGGACGCGGGCCGGGCCCCACACGTCCATGTGAAGCGTCTGCAGAGGAGCCTCTGTCGGGGGAAACTGGGAGGAGTGAGGGGCAGCCCGGAGCCGCCCCTCGACACAGGGGACACAGGAAGGTCCGGGTCCCGAAGGAAGGGGAGGGAGAGACCGGGGAAGACCAGAGACAAGGACACGGGAAGCCATGCCCCGAAGACGAGGCAAGGAGGGGTGGCCAAGACGGTGGTGCCACAGGAGAGTCTCGTGAGACAGGCGGCGACACGAGCAGGGGGCAGACTCAGGACCAGACCTGGACGCAGCAGCAAACACCTGACCCGACGCAGCTACCTGGCCAGACGCAGGGACAGGAGGAGACTCAGTGGTCAGGGTGTAGAGACTCGACCCCGGCCGACGCGAAAACGTGGCCAGGTGTCGGCCTGTGCGGGCGTCCGAGCAGTGGGTCACCCGCTGACTCGCAGGAGTAAACTAGTGAACCCCCGCATCCTGCAGGTCAGCACCACTCACCAAGTTCGTCGAGAACGAGGGGAGGTACAGATTAGACAAGGTGCCCGAGGGGGCAGCCGGACACGGGAGGACAGTGGAGAAGTGAGAGAGGACAGGACCCCCAGAGGGGTCAGCCAGGGAGACTGCAACCGGCCGGCCAAGCGGCGTGAGTGTGGTGCGGTCTCGAAAGAAGGAGCGAGAAGCTCCTGAGTCAAGCGTGAAGGTGAGGGAGGCCGAAGCCGACGCAGTACCTGAGAGCGCAGCCTCACCAGTACCTGAGAGTGCAGACGCACTGGCACCTAGAGCAGCAGCCGCAGAAGTACCTGGCGCAGCAGTACCAATGCCCGGGTCGGGCGGGAAACACCGGTAACAGTCACCCTCCTCACTAATAGTCACAGCATACATGGCAGCAAGGATAGCATCAAAGTCAAGATCAAAGATAGCTACGCCAGCCCTAGACAGCTCTCCCCAACGGGGAATCTCACTAGCCTCAGGGAACTGCTGACGCCAAGCGTCCGTCAGGCGGCCAAAGCAGCGCTGGGTGGGGTGGGCACCCCCACACTGCTCACCCGCGCGGTCGCCGGAACGAAGGACGTAGGTGCACGGACCAAAACCCCCACCCCGCTGACGCTGCGTGTACCACTCACGGAGCTGCTGGGGCGGGGGGATGTCCCGCGAACGCTGCTGCTGCTGCTGCTGCTGACGCTGGCCACCACCAGAGCCGCTACGCTGCGGGGCACCACCCCGACCAGCTCCACCCCCTCCGCCACCGCCGCCTCCACCTCCACCACCACCGCTGCCTCCGCTCCCACCGCTGCCGCCACCACCGCCTCCTCCTCCGCTGCTGCCACCGCCACCACCGCCCCCGCCACCACTCCCACCGCCACCCCCACTCCCTCCGCCGCCTCCACCGCCACCCCCACCGCCCCCGCCAGTTCCACCCGCGCCCTTGCCCCCCTTGCCCCTGCCAGGGCGGCGTCTCCCGCTAGGGGCAGACGCCGCGCAGACCGACTCAAGACCCAGCAGGTCGGCAGCAGCAGCAGAGGCAACAGAGGGCAGCAGGGGGGAAGGAGAACACCCCTCAAAGATGGGGGTGCGAGGGTCACCACGAGAGGCTCCTACAGCGACGATGCTCTTCTCCGCCGCCAGGAGGGACTTCTCGAGGAGGTCGACAGTGAGAGTGGTGGGACAGACTGAGAGGAAGTGGTCCCTGACTACGCGAAGGGAGTCAGGGAGGCGTGTGACTATGTAATAGAGAGTGATGTACATGGGGGGGGGGTTCTTGGCGCAGAACTCAGCAGGAAGGGCGGCGCGGTAGCGAGTGTCACTAGTGCGGAGGTGCGTAATGAGGTCAGCGACAGTGGGAAAGGCAGCAAGGTCAGGAAAGAGGTACGGTAGCATGAGGCGGCTCAGGGCAGCAGTGGCAGGGGAAGAGTAGCGCGCAACTACAGCGTCGTACAAGGTCTGAGCACTCTTGTACTGACTAAAGTGCGCGCGCTCAGTGGTAGGCAGGTGGCGACGCACAGCAAGACGTGCAGCAGCATCGCGGGTGGCCCACTGAGAGCGAACAGTGGGGTCAGCATCAGCAGCAGGGGCAGGAGAGGCGCCAGAGGTGAGGTCAAAGAGGGAAAGACCGTCCGTCCTATCGCACTGTAAGAACAGCTGCAGGTCGTCGACCCAGACCTCAAAGTCAAGGGCTCGACCCTCAGCGTCAAAAGCGAGGACACTAGGGGTAGCCATGACGACGACAGTGTAGTAGTGGAAGCAGTAGGGGAAGGGCACGCAGTAACAGTGGTGCTGTGCTCACCAGGCAGGGCAGGTCGGGCGGCTCGGTAGTAAGGCGGCCCGGCAGCTGGGCGGCTCGGCGGCTCGGCTGCTGGGCGGCTCGGCTCCCGGGCGGCTCGGCGGCAGGGCGGCTCGGCGGCAGGGCGGCTCGGCTGCAGGGCGGCTCGGCGGCTCAGCTCCCGGGCGGCTCGGCGGCAGGGCGGCTCGGCACCCGGGCGGCTCGGCTGCAGGGCGGCTCGACGGCTGGGCGGCTCGGCGGCTGGGCGGTCGGCTGCACGGCGGCTCGGCTGGTGGGCGGCCGGGCGGCTCGGCTGCAGCGCGGCTCGGCGGCGGGGCGGCTCGGCTGCTCTGCTGCTGGGCGGCTCGGCCGCTGTAGAGGAGCGGCGGGGCCGCTGCAGAAGGGCGGCGGGGCCGCGTGGTAGAGTGGCGGGGCCGCGCGATGGGGCGGCGGGGCCGCGAGGAAGGGCGGCGGGGCCGCGCGATGGGGCGGCGGGGCCGCGAGGAAGGGCGGCGGGGCCGCTAAGTAGGGCGGCGGGGCCGCGCGATGGGGCGGCGGGGCCGCGAGGAAGGGCGGCGGGGCCGCTAGGTAGGGCGGCGGGGCCTCACGATGGGGCGGCGAGGCCGCGAGGTAGGGCGGCGGGGCCGCGCAATGGGGCGGCGAGGCCGTGAGTAAGGGCGGCGGGGCCGCTAGGTAGGGCGGCGGGGCCGCTCAATAGGGCGGCGAGGCCGCGAGGTAGGGCGGCGGGGCCGCTAGGTAGGGCGGCGGGGCCGCTAGGAGAGAGGCGGCGGGGCCGCGAAGACGGGCGGCGGGGCCGCTGAGACGAGTGGCGGGGCCGCAGTGAAGGGCCGCTAGGGCGGCTCGACGAAGCGAGGGCCCGGAGCGCGACTCGGGTTGAGCGCGCTTCGGGCAGGAAAAAAAAAAAAACGATGTGGTGGGCCCTAAGCACAGTTCCCAAGGGGGAACCTGCTCGATACCATGAGAAGATTTGAACAAGAGTGAATGAACTATGAATGAAGTGAGTACATATAGGAAACCCTAATTGGGTTGTACCCCCTATGGGATACCCCACTATAGCCTACACAACAGCATAAGCTATATGTATGTTCTGACATGCATAGCTGTGGCAAACACACGTGAATAAGAACTAAGACGAGAGCGACACGTGCTAGAGAAATTTCGCTGGCAATGTGACAGTAGAATATCCGGTGTTACCAGCAACAATCTATGCTAAGCGAAATTCGCGAGATTGCAAACAATTGAGTTACATGAATGATTCTGTTAATTCCACGTCGAATTTTCATGGGCAACTTATAACAGTGTTCCTATGGCACGTGTGGGTTATTTTGTCGTGTGGGTGTCTGAAGTGAACACAGCTGAAAACGGATGTCGAGTTTCGTCAAGGAACGTCGACGAAAGTTTCGTCAAGGAACGTCGACGAAAGTTTCGTCGGCAAACGTCGAAATTCACTTCAGACACGCCCTTATGCACCCATAGTTCCCTTGCGCTGACTGTGGTGAGGTGAAGTGCCGTGCACTGATACGGTACATAGTGTTCTACTACACCTGGCGATTCTGCCGTTTCAGCCAGGCAGCTTTCGGCGACGAATCACGGAGCCTACTGCGCTTCGCCTTTTTGCTGCCTAGCCTGGTTCCAGTCTGTACTGAAGTTCCCACTTGGTTTAGCATCTAGGCTAAGCACCCTCGAAGGACAATGGCAACATTACGAGATAGATACGCTAAGCAACTCTCGCCCGGAATGATTTTTCCCACATCGGCAGCTTCTGCGCTTCTAGAAGCTTCTGTTATCGGGTCATAAAACAACTTTTCGCAAGTGATGATAGCTGATTGATATTTTCTGCTCAGGCTGAGAGTATCTAACAGGCGTGAGGGTAATCTTATGAGTGATACTACCTCGTTGTACTGTTAGCGCCATAGATTCAGCTTCTGCCCCGCGCTTTCCGTTATGGCGATCGCAATTAATCAAATCCCAGGTCATCGTATCTTTAGTACGAAGATCTCACCAGAGAGACTGGCTCCTCTTCGCTGTTCTGCGGCGAGGGGGGATCTCGAGGCGAGTGAGGGATGGCGTTCCGCCGCCTTTCGGGCATCCGACGTTCCGGTTCTTGGCGATCGCCTCGGGCCTCTTGCTCTTGTTCGTTCCGCAGCGTTATTTCCCAGCACGGAGTTGGCCCCGAAGCGACGGAACGAAGAAGTACAAAGAGAAACACAGAACCAGCTACTCGTGCATTCTTCTCTAAAAGCTCTCTGCTTACTCACCCTGAGAACTCTCCTCACCCGCGCGGTTCCATACTACCATTTTCTCAACTGTCGTCTAAGGGTTGAAGTCTAACCATTTTCCCAATACAAGCTGAGCAGCCATGCTTGCAGTCGCGCCATTATCAGCTCGTCGCTACAACGCGTGCGCCTCCTTTTCCCCGCCTGCAATCCAAATCGACGGTCTAGATCCGTCGGAAGGGCTGGCGTCGACGGTCGTGATGCCTCGTTTTTCCAGCGATCCAGGCGCGCAGAAATCCCCGGAGCGCGTGGATGCTTCATTTCCCGCCGCTGACGCGCAAGCCGCAGCCGCTGGCGCGGGAACATTTCTCCGCCCCACGCCTCCGCGCAGCCCGCGCGAAGCCTCCAGCGCGGCGCTCGGGTTCCGCCACCGCCGCTGGCACTCGTTCAGCGGATTTCAAGAGCTTCCGGGGGAGTGCGGAGTTTGTGGCACACCTGAGTCCGTGGATGGTGCTTATGACGGGGATATTACCAGTTATCCTCCACGCGCGCCGTGCCCGTCTACAGTTGCGGTTGCGGCTGCTTCTGCGGCTACTGCTGCGGCCGCTGCTGCGTCATCGTCTCCTATCCCCACGCCCGCCGTTGCTGCGCAATATTCTGTACCTCCCGCAGCTGCTGCTGCTGCTGCCACGTCACCACCTCCTTCTGAAGCCATGTGGCCACGAAGTCAGAGCCATGGCTCTGAAACCATGGCGCGACGGCGCCAGGCCCGGCACCGGCGCACGCGGTCAGTGGAAGCAGTGATGGAGCATTCTGGAGTGGTGGGGCAGAGCACTTCAATGGGCCAGGCCAGTTCAATGGCTCCCTCGTGCTCCATGCCCTTCCCACGAGCCTTCATGGCCGTACAGTCACCGCATGGGTTATGACGAGCACGCTCAGCTGGAAAGCAGTCTCCCTGCGAGGCAGGTACAAGCTTTCCGAAGTCGCCTCGCAGTGGCCCTTCCTCTTCCTCCTCCTCCTCCTCCTCCTCTGCCTCCTCGTCGCCGTCAACACCCCTCTCTCCTCCTCCCCTTTCTCCTCCTCCCCTCTCTCCTCCTCCCCTCTCTCCTCCTTCCCTCTCTCCTCCTCCTCTCTCTCCTCCTCCCCTCTCTCCTCCTCCCTTGTCTCCGCCGCCCCTGTCCGTGCTCTCATCCTCAAAGCCCATCTCTCCACTGTCACAATCGAAACCCACCTCTAGATCGTCGCGATCAAGACCCGTTGCTGGCCCGTTGGCATCAGGGCGTTATTCTATCCCATATTCTTTTATGCAGCCAATCTGCAATGCTACATCCTCCAGTTCTCCCGCTAAGGCAGCAGTAGGAGGAGGAGCAGCTGCTGCTGCATGCACAAGTGGGGATCTCAAGGGTACAATTGTAGTGCAGGCTACAAGCGGCAGTGTCATGACAAGAAGCAGCGTGGGAAATGACAAGAGCTTGGCCCCAGGAATACCAACTCAGGCGATTGCCATCCCTGCTGGCAGCACGCATGATGCAAGCAGGTCGTCTTCTTCTCAGTTGCCTAAGAACAAACGGCGTGTGCGCTTTAACAAGATGGTGCAAGTTAGGACCTTCTTTGATTGATACCTGGTAGGTAGCAGGTGTTCGGTATATTTGTATATTAGGCTAACCAAACTAAGTGATCCCTGTACAAATTCTAATAAGCGTCTCCCGCATCTTAAGCTTATCTTGATCAGATCTTAGACCCAACTCTTTGCATGAATACCATGCTCTCTGACACCTTAGGTACCAGTTCTCTGATTTTGCATCTTGAAATACGGTGCTGACATCTTGAAATGCTTGTGCATATGGTTTCCTTAATTTGCATGTAGAGACCAAAACTGTTGATATCGAGGTATTACCGAGTTGTTACCGAGGTATTACCGCATCTTCGACAACCCCCTCTCGTTTTCCACCAGCACCACCAGCCTGACGGAATCTAGGAATTTAGGAATCTACTGATGCACACAGCGAGGCGCTTTCTCTGTAGATTATCTGCGAGTTAGGAAACGCCTGGACTCGAACAAGTGCGCACCGCGAGTTCTGCGACGCGTTTTCCTGGACATTATATTCTTTCATTCCTAGGTGTCACGACGCCTCTGAATATTAGCGTGTTCATGAGTTCGTTGACTCACGCTTTCCTCAGTTTTATGTCGTGTGGAGTGCACCACAGATTCCATCTGTCGATGTAAAGTACTTCTCAGGCGTCTCAACAATTGTGAAGGAGTCGTCGCCGGTTCGGCCTTTAGTTTTGAGTCGACTCAAAACTTGGTTCGGCCTGCTATCAGCGGCCTGGCTTGTCGGGTGCTGCTGCGAATTCAGACTGTCGTCGCATAATAGAAAGTAGACGTCTCGTGCCTGTGCGGTTCGCGCGCGTAAGAGCTCGTAAGAGGAAGGCTTTTTCCGGGTTTGGCACTGACGAAGCGAGTTCGCTTGGTTTTTTTATTTTTCCTCTCAGCCGTAGAAATAGCTCGTCCTTCTCATAAGAATCCCCGTTTGGCGCCGGTCGCGACGGAGGAGATTAAACCCATTATTTCGGACTTTTCAAGCCGCCGCCTATACCTCTCCCTTTCAAGCCTTTGGCACCTTTTGACGGCGAGCGCGGCGGTTGCGACGGAGCGGATCGAGGGTCTTTTCCCGGCCTTTTCAGGCCTGGTGTACCTTTTCGTCTACTTGCGAGTCCTGGTTCGCCGCACAGCACGCATCATGCTTGCCAGGGTAAGTGTGAGGCAACATCTTGATTCATGACTATTGCTGAGATGTCTTAAAAGGCGGATCGAGGGCCTGATTCCGGCCTTTTCAGGCCTGGTATACCTTCTCGTCTACTTACGAGTCCTGGTTCGCCGCACAGCCTGCATTATGCTCGCCAGGGTGAGTGTGAGCAGCTCTCCCAAGAGCACCTCAAGATGTTTCACTTGTCTCTTGGTAGAGCTCAAAACCGCGAGACAAGAGAAACATCCTGAGGTGCCTTTAAAAGGCGCTCCACCTTTATTGAACCCCCTTTGTCGTCCCACCTTTATTGAACCCCCTTTATCGTCCCACCTTTATTAAACCCCATCCCTGCTTCCCACGCACAGGTGTTCAACACCATTATCGGGGGATCGGGGTCGAGGCTAGAGCGGGCGGGCCGGGAGCGTATGCATGAACCGCCTTTGCCATGTGCAAGCCATGTGTGTGTGAACCACCTCTCTGCCCCCCACTCGCAGGTGTTCAACACCATCAGTGGGGGGTCGGGGTCCAAGCTGGAGCGCGCGCACGTGTGAACCCCCCCTTGCCATGCCGTGTGGCGACCTCTTGCTGTGATTGATCATTGAATTCCCTCTCTGCTGGTCTTTGCGCCACACACATCGCAGGTGTTCAACACCATCATCGGGGGGTCGGGGTCCAAGTTGGAGCGAGCGCTGGGAGAAGTATTTCCTGAGAGGAGGAGGTACTTTGGGCTCGAGCCCAGGCGTGAACCCCTGCCATATTGACCCCCTTTCATTGCTCCACGCATATCGCAGGTGTTCAACACCATCATCGGGGGGTCGGGGTCGAAGCTAGAGCGCGCGCTGGGAGATGCGTTCCCCGAGGGGGAGAGGTATTTTGGGCTGGAGAACTTTGGCAACACGTGCTACTGCAACAGCGTGCTGCAGGTGGGTGGGTCCACACCACACGCTGGACAGGACCAGAGGTGCTTCTAGGTGCGTGAAGGTGCTTGTAGGTGCTTTGAGTTGCGTTCAGGCACATTCGGCAACACGTGCTACTGCAACAGCGTGCTGCAGGTGGGTGGGGTCACATGGTAGGTGCTATAAGGTGATTTGGGCGCTGGGAGATGCGTTCCTCGAGGGGGAGAGGGGGATCTGCTGCTGTGTGCCGTGCCGTTCCGTTCCGCAAGCACCTGCTGGAATACTACTTTCAGCACAAGCCTGCGAATAAGTCCGAGGAGACTCCTTTTACCTTGGAGGGGCACAAATTCTCACCTCTTAACCTCCTCATCACACCACGTCACACCGCACCACACCACACTGCACCGCACTGCACCATATCCCATGACCCATTCAAGGCACTGTACTTGTGTGTGCCGGTCCGCGAGCACCTGCTGGACTATTACGCCAAGCACAATCCTTCCAAAGTCCGAAGGGTCTCCTTACCTACTCAACAACCTAACTCCCCACCCTCATCCCCCCTACCTGCCACGCCACAAACTAACCCTCCCGCCAGGCGCTGTATTTCTGTGCGCCGTTTCGCAAACACCTCTTGGACTACTACGCCAAGCACAAGCCCAGAAAGCTTTGCATTTGTTCAATATCTTTTGTGTGTAATTTGTCATTACCACCACACTACACCACACCACACCACACCACCCCTTCCAGGCGCTCTACTTCTGTGTGCCGTTCCGTGAGCACCTACTGGACTACTACGCCAAGCACAAACCCGCCAATGAGTCCGAGGAGACCCTCCTCACGTGCCTCGCAGAGCTCTTCAACCAGGTACGTGTTTGGCATGTGCCTTGCATGCGCACCAAGTGTGCCTCACTCCCACTCTCAGCCCACTAGCTGGGTGTGCCTCATTCTCACTCTCAGCATTCCAGGTGCGCCGCACTCTCAGTGCACCAGGTACGCCTTACTCTCTTCCGGGCTACTACGCCAAGCACAAGCCCGCCAACGAGTCCGAGGAGACTTTTGAGTCGACTCAAAAGTCACCTCGGTACGCCTTACTCTCTTCCGGACTACTACGCCAAGCACAAGCCCGCCAACGAGTCCGAGGAGACACTCCTCACCTGTCTTGCAGAGCTCTTCAACCAGGTACGCCCCACTCTCATTGCACCTTCAACAACCAGGTATGCTTCACTTCACTCTCACCGCACCTTGCATGCGCTGTGTTGCAGCCTTGCATGCGGCTTGCATGTCCCTCAGCTGTCGCTCAGGTGTCCCTCAAGTGTTTGTCAGGTTAGCCCCAAGTTCGTTATAGGATGTCTCTATATCATCCGCACTTCTTGTGATTTTTCATCCTTTCCTGACTCCTCACAACTCCCCCTTCTCGCCCCCACCCTCCTCTCACTCCTTTCTCCCGGCACACCCACCCAATGGCATATCAACTCCCAAAAGCACAAGACAGAGGTATGTTTGTGTCACCTTTGAGAACTCTCAATTGTAACACAAACAAAGACGGGGGTTATCGTGTCTCGTCCCCCCGTGCCTTTTGAGTGTACTTAACGTCTCCTCCTTTTTGGATTGCCATCCATCACTCCCCTCCCCGCACCTCCTTCCCCCCCACTACCTGCCCCCATGGCAGATCAACTCGCAGAAGCGCAAGACGGGGGTCATTGCACCTCGCCGCTTCGTGCAGCGAGTGAAGAAGCAGAAGGAGCTCTTTCGCAGCTACATGCACCAGGTGAAAATTCAGGCAATAGGTGAAAATGCATGCGTCAGGTGAAATTTTGGCATCAGGTGAAGATGCATGCGTCAGGTGAAGCTTCAGGCATCAAGTGAAAATGCATGCACCAGGTGAAATCAGATGAACGTTCAGCTAACAGGTGACATCTCAGACATCAGGTGAAATTCCAGACATCAGGTGGAAAAACAGAAATCAGGGCAAATCTTGGACATCAGGTGAGTGAAATGTCGGACAATGAGGTGAAATTTCAGTCATCAGGTGAAAAAGGCGAAAATAATATCTCAGGTGAAGTTGCTGGTGCTATTCCCCTGTGCCCTGATGTTACTGCCATAACACCGTCCCTGTTCCTAGCCTATGAGTTCCTCCTTTTCCTTCTCAACAAGCTCGTGCACATTTCAGAGAAGGAGGCTGCAGTGTCTTACTTTCCGCTTACCCGTTTGCCAACCCTGCCGCCCTGCCCTGCCGCCCTGTCGCCCTGCCGCCCTGCCTCCCTGCCGCCCTGCCGCCCTGCCGCCCTGCCGCCCTGCCTCCCTGCCGCCCTGCCGCCCTGCCTCCCTGCCTCCCTGCTGCGCTGTCGCTTGCAGGACGCCCATGAGTTCCTGAATGGCCATCTCAACGAGCTCGTGGGCATCCTAGAGAAGGCGGCGCGGGCACGCAGAGCAGCAGAGGGGGGGCTTAGACGTTGGTTCCCAATCTGGTTCATCCCCCTACCCCAACCCCCATCAGGACGCCCACGAGTTCCTCAACTTCCTCCTCCACGAGCTTGTTGATATTCTAGAGAGGGAGGCGCTCTCCCCTTCCCCGTGCCTCTCTTATACACCCATCCCATACCCCCCACCCTCACCCCCACCCCCATCAGGACGCCCACGAGTTCCTCAACTTCCTCCTCCACGAGCTTGTTGATATTCTAGAGAGGGAAACGGCGAATGCTTACACGCGCGTACCCACTTGCCACCCCTGCCCTGTCTGTCGCCCTGTGCCCGGCAGGACGCACACGAGTTCCTCAACTTCCTTCTCAACGAGCTCGTGGACATTCTAGAGAAGGAGGCGCGGGCAGGCAGGGCAGAGGCGGGGAGAATTATCCACCCCAACCCGCCTGCTGCTGCCCCTGCTGCTGCCGCTGCTTCTGGTGGTGCTGCTTCTGGTGGTGGTGCTGCTGTTGCTGCCGTTAGGTCTGACGGAGGGGCGAGGGGGAGTGAGGGAGCCGGGGAGGGGAGGGAGGGCGATGGGGGAGGGGCGAGTGCAGCAGCAGCAATGGATGGGGCACCAGCCGGTTTGGGTTCTGCTGCTGCTGCAGCTGCGACTGCATCTGCAGCTGTTGCAGCAGCGGCAGCAGCAGCAGCGGGTGGAGCTGGGGCAGGGGGAACAGCAGCTGCTGGGAGTGCTGCTGCTGGTGGGGGTGGCAGTGGGGCGAAACCGACGGTGGTGACATGGGTGCATGAGATATTTCAGGTACGTCGGTGCTGGGGGTGTGCTGCTGGGATGTGTGCTGCTGGGGTGTGCGCTGCTAGGGTGTGCGCTGCTAGGGTGTGCGCTGCTAGGGTGTGCGCTGCTGGGGTGTGCGCTGCTAGGGTGTGCGCTGCTGGGGTGTGCGCTGCTCGGGTGTGCGCTGCTGGGGTGTGCGCTGCTGGGGTGTGCGCTGCTGGTGTGTGCGCTGCTGGTGTGTGTCCTCCTTTCTCCGTTGTCCATCCCTCTTCCCTCCTTTCTCACTCCATCCCTTCTCCCTCCTTCCGACCTCCTGCCTCCCTCCTCCCACCCACCTTCCTTCCTCCTTCCGTTCTCCCTTACTCCCGGGCACACTGACAAATGAGACGCGCTGCCTGTGCTGTGAGGCGGTGACTGCACAAGATGAAGCCTTTCCGGATCTTGCTTTGGACATCGAGCAGAACAGCAGTGTCACCAGCTACCTGAGACGCGCTGCCTGTGCTGTCTGTGCTGAATCGCGCTGCCTGTGCTGTGAGACGGTGACCGCTAGAGATGAGGCCTTCCTGGACCTTTCATTAACCATCGAGCAGAACAGCAGTGTCACCAGCTGCCTGCGCTACTTCACCCCCCTTCCTTCCTCCCTCCCCCTCCCCCTTCCACCCTCCCCCCTCTCCCTCCCTCCCTCCTGCCCCTTCATACGTTTCCCACATCTTCCAGGGTACGTTGACGAATGAGACGCGCTGCCTGTGCTGTGAAACAGTGACTGCTCGGGACGAGGCTTTTCTTGATCTCTCATTGGACATCGAGCAGAACAGCAGTGTCACCAGCTGTCTGCGCAACTTCTCCTCCACAGAGACTTTGAACGGCAACGACAAGTTCTTCTGTGACACGTGCTGCAGGTGCGTGTGGGCAGACAGTAAAGGGGTCTGTCAAGGTCACCTGCTGGTGTGGATGTGGGGTGGGGAGCATTGTAGGGCTGTCAGCAAGTGGTCGTTCTGTTGTTATGTCCGCAAATGGCAGTGTCACTAGCTGCCTGCGCAACTTCTCCTCCACAGAAACTCTCAACGGCAACGACAAGTTCTTCTGTGACACGTGCTGCAGGTGAGAGTGGGATTAGGAAGCCTTGTAGGGCTGTCCACGAGTGGACAGGACATGCTGGTAATACGTCAGCAGGTGGGAGTGTCATGTCACTTTTGAGACGTCTCAAAGGTGGGAGTGTCATGTCACCAGCTGCCTGGGCAAATTCTCCCCCACTGAGACTTTCAACGGCAGCGATAAGTCCTTCTGTGACACGTGCTGCAGGTGCGTGTGGAGCAGCTAGGTGACTTTTGAGTCGATCAAAAGTCATCTCGTCCTTCTGTGAAACGTGCTATCGGGTCGTCTTCCCCCTCCACCTGCGCCTCCGCCTCTCCCTTCTTGCCCACTCACCTGCCCTTTCCTCTCCTCGTCCCTTCGTCCCTTCCTTCCCTCCTCCCCTCCTCCCCTCCCCCCCTTCCCTCCCCCCCCTTCAACCCCCCTCACCAGCCTGCAGGAGGCACAGAAGCGGATGCGCATAAAGGTGCCTCCCCGAGTCCTAGCCCTGCATCTGAAGCGCTTCAAGTTCATGGAGCAGCTGGTGCGCTACAAGAAGCTGTCCTACCGGGTCGTCTTCCCACTCCACCTCAGCCTCTGCCCCTCCCTTCTTGCCCTCTCACCTGCCCTTTGCTCTCACCGTCCGTCCCTCCATCCTCCCCTGCTCCTCCCCTCCTCTTCACCGCTCCTCCTCCCCTCCCTCCTCCCCCCACGGCAGCCTACAGGAGGCACAGAAGCGGATGCGAATCAAGGTCCCCCCTCGAGTCCTAGCCCTCCATCTGAAGCGTTTCAAGTTTATGGAGCAGCTGGGGCGCTACAAGAAGCTCTCCTACCGGGTCGTCTTCCCCCTCCACCTGCGCCTCTGCAACACCGTCGACGACGCGCCCGGCGCCGAAGCCGAGTACTCCCTTTTCGCTGTGATAGTGCACGTGGGGAGCGGGCCCAACCACGGGCACTATGTGGCTCTCGTGAAGAGCCATAGCCATTGGTTGTTTTTCGATGATGAGAATGTGGAGCAGATAGATGAGTCGCTGGTTCAGACGTACTTTGGGTCGTCGCAGGACTATTCGAGTAACACGGATCATGGGTACTTTCTCTTCTATCAGTGCTTGCAGCCGGAGCTGCTGCAGGGACCAGGGGCTGATGCTGCTGCTGCTGCTGAGGGTGCTGCTAGTGCTGCTGCTGCTAATGCTGGTGCTCCTGCCTCAGCTTATGTTTCTGGTATTTCTGGAGGAACTGGTGCGGGTGCTACTGGTGGCAGTGCTAATGCCACTGCTACTGCTGTTGAGGCAGTTTCTGCGGCTGGCGAGGGCTGAGCTGAAGTGCCAGCGAAAGCACGGGTGTGTGAGGTTATGGGGCTTGGTTATTGGAAATTAGTGTAAGTATTGATTGCTGAGGGTCACAGGGTTCTCAAAAACTTTGGAACTAGGTCATAGGCTTTGTTTAGATTGAGCAGATTCTATCATGCTGTTACCGCTGCTGCTGATGCTAGTGATAACCTACCGTATCATTGCTAGTGATGCAGATCAGCTGTGGCAGGATTGTTGGGAGATTAGATCGGTGCCTGGTGTAACTAAAGTCACTGTGGTGTGGGTGCAGTGCAGCTAATGTTGTTGCTGCATGAAGTGCTTGAGTTTCCCGTGAGTTAATAAAATTAGCAGAATCTTCCTTCATTTATAACTCAAATATTTTAGGAATGAATGTACCAGGGCTTAAAAAAATGCGCATTGTGTCGAGACTCTGTTTACTGTATCCCGTCCTGAAAATGTCCCTCGTAAACACCACTCAACTTCCAAGGTCCCAGGAGAAGCTCTCCATTCATGGTTGCCCACGCGGAGGGTACAATTTCCAACTTTCACCGAACAGAGTTACAGGTGATGCCCAGCCCCTGCACGCGAAATTGCCTTGCACATTCCAGAAACCTTGCACCCGTGGGTTTCCTGCCGCGAAGTTGCACCTACGATACAAGCACGTCGACCAATAGGAAAGCCAGAAACGGAAGTCTGACTGATGAGACTGCAGTCAAACAGTCAACGGTGAGTTACAAAACTTTTTTATAAGCCCTTTTTGCCCGAAGCGAATTGACGAAACCTCCACGATGCAAGAATCACTTATAGGCCCATAGGGTAGGCCGAGGTCGGGGGGCTCAACCGGGCATCGTGTGTACCTCTACGATTGGAGAGCGCCACACTTTCAGGCCTGGGGTGGGGAGGAGCATATCTAAGAAAGCGCGTCAACCACTACTGTACGCAAAGTCGCCCTTGCCCCATTTTGTTTCTGCATTCGTCTCGTCTGATCCCCCAGCTGGTCCACGCAGGACTTGTCGCGAGGAACAGTGGAAGAAACGTGTGTTGCCATGCAATGTCGTTCGTGAGTTCGTTTGGAATGGAAACCCAAGTGGCGGTGACGTGACTCGTACTGTAACGCGGTCTTCCCCTGGCGACGATTGACTGTACAGTTCGCCGGTTCTGCACAAAGTGGTTCAGGGGCAGCGGAGGAGTTGGTGGCGCAATGTGCTTGTGGTTTTATTCGTTATTTGTGTTTCAGATGGTTACAAAACGGTTCAGTGCGTCAGCTGTGCAAGGTAAAAGAGGGCCGTGCCACGCGATTGGACTGGGCGGAGAGAGTCTGGCTCGACTGCATAGTTTCCCCCGAGTTTCTTGGCGGACAATAAGCGGGAGTTTTTGCAACATTTTTCCGCCTCTTCAGCCAGCCGCTCGTTCCGCTTGTTTCAAGCGGCTCTCCTCGTCCCAAGACCCTCCCTTACCTGTGACCTCGCTTCGGCAGCTCGGCTGTGGCTTTGGCTTCGATCTTGGCGCTCTTCTACAGGCACACGATTCCGTTCCATCGGAATCTCCGTTGGCAATCCCGGGAGATTTCTAGTCGGACTCTCGGGTCAATTACAGATGGGTTGTCAGCTGCCCGCTGCCAAAATAAATCAAACCCTACTGAGAGGCTAGAGTTTTTCGTGCCCGCGGTCACTTGATGGCCGAACGTCCGTCAAACGCGACCGGCGACGGCCAAGTGCCCCTGGTGGATCGCCGTTCGCCGGCTAATCGCCGTTGGTCGGCTAATCGCCATTGCTCGGCTCGGTCTGCTTGACTGGACACGTTCACTTTCCTTCCCCGCCAAGTGTTTCACGATTCGTCAAGTTTGCAGTGTTGCCAGTCATGGTTCAGTGGACGGACATGGCTCGTTCACGATTCTCTCTATTTTACCTCGACCACGTAAAGCCACGTTCAGTATAGACATTGTCACGTGCCATTGAATGGAACCGAGGAACGCGAGCTCGTCAGGCATTGTTATTCGGAGCATAGCTGAAGGTTGCCGTTCTTTACGGTAGAGATCCCTCCGGAAAGCGATATCTACAGCCTTTGCGAACCAGTCCTCAGTAATGTTTAATTATTTCCTTCGTTATTTGAACCGCTCCATGCTCGTGGCTTTTTTAAATCCTCGAAATCATCAAGAGCATTCGCAAACCTGTCTTTAGCTCCATATTGTCGTCCCACTTTTAGAGCCAAGGAGTGCGCCTGTTTCGTAACAGCTCGATACGTTACAGCCCATGCAAGTATGAACTGTCGGCTTTGACCGTTTGGCGTTTTTCACGGGCGGTTTGCCTTTTAAAGGTGACACGTATATGAGTGGTCTTCACGTTGACGCCTGAGGTTGCTGCTTCGGATGCTATAAGAGGATCGATTTGCAGTTACCGAAGAAAATATATTTTTTCCGTCGACACAAGCAGTCATTTTGGTTCTAGTCATCATATGCAAGCAATTGACCGTTGAAAAAAAACAAAACCGTCGATTCGCCGACAATGTGGCTCGTGGAAGTGCCAGGATCGTGGGTCTCCGATGATTCCGCAATTAAGGACGCCTTAGAAGCTTCCTGGTCGTTTCTTCAGCAAGTGCTTACGTTAGCCTCTGCCGCGTCTCAGGCGAGACGGCAGCATCGCCATCAGCAGCTAAGCCACCCGTCAGCTAAGCCGTCAAAACCGAAAGAAAATGCTGACGTCATTATTGTTATAGTATCGGTTGTGATAAATTCGAGCGTTCGGAAACCTTCAGAAGCGTCACGCGTGCGGGGTGCGCGTACTACAAGCTTGAGTGAGAGAAGCCGTGGGGATGATGCCTCGGAGAAGGAGGATCGGATCTGGAGGGACCTGTTGAAGCCTCTCCTGCAGCGAGCAATGGCGATGGGCAAGGTGAGAGTGGCGAAGGTGAGCATATTTAGGGTTACAGATGTGAAGGTGAGAGAGTTAAGAGTGAGGGAATCAGATCTGAAAGTATTAAGTGTCGGAGGTGAGAGAATCAAAGGTGAGAGCGTCGAATGTAGCCGTTATCGGTAGTTCGTGTCGTATGAGGGTAAAATGTCAGATTCGAGTGAGGGTGATGTTATTTCCCAATATTGTCGCATTCTCTTCTTCCATACTCTCCGTCTCCCCTGTCCCTCCCAGGCAATGGTAATCGGCCACGTGGAGCGCAGCACCTCCCGAGCAGACGGCCTCTGCGCCGCGGCTCGCTGGTTCCCCGCCTCTCGCCTCTACGCAACACCCGCCGCCGCAACCGCCGCCGCCACCGCGCCCGCCGCCACCGCCCCCGCCACCGCCGCCGCCGCTGCAGCAGCTACTGCGGGTATCGATCTGCTGCCACCGTTGCGCCTCGCCCACCCCTCCTCTGATCTCGGCCTCCCGCTGACGTTCGCCAGCAGCCTTCCTTTAACCTGCAAGCTCGCTACAATCACATCTTCCAATAGCCACTCGCGAAACGGCTCGCTGACGGAGATAGACGAGAACGAGCCGAGTGCAGACGGATGGGAAAATGGGGGGGAGACTGCGGGGGAAACTGCGGGGGAGAGTGGAGGGGTGCAGCGGTGTAGCTTTAGCACGGATGATGGGATGAGTGTGGGGGGGAGCAGTGCGAGCAGCAGATGGAGTACGAGCAGCAGCGGCAGCAGCGCCAGCAGGAGCAGTAGCAGCGGAAGTAGCAGTCGCATCAGCAGTAGCAGCAGCAGCAACAAAAGCGGCTCCCAAAAAGCTGCGCTTCTTTTCCCGCCAGACTCTCTCCCGCCAGCAGCGCCCTACTCTTCCAGTGCAACTGCTTCTGCTCTCTCCTCTTCTTCCTCCTCTTCTTCTTTCGCTTCCTCCTCTTCCTCCTCCTCTTTCTCCTCTTCCTCCTCTTTCTATTCTTCCTCCTCTTCCTCCTCTTCCTCCTCTTCCTCCTCTTCCTCCTCTTCCTCCACCTCCGCTTCCGTCTCCTCGTCGTCTTCCTCCTCCTCCTCCTCCTCCTCCTCCTCCTCCTCCTCCTCCTCCTCCTCCTCCTCCTCCTCCTCCTCCTCCTCCTCCTCCTCCTCCTCCTCCTCCTCCTCCTCCTCCTCTTCGGTTTCATACGAACTGACGCGCTATCCATGGCACGAGCAGGAGAGGTTGAGGAGCGTCAACGAGCGTCAGCCTCTGCCGCGCCTGCAGCATCAGCTGCTGCAGGTGCGCAAGCCCACTCTCGCCCCCGCGCCAATCCAACGCCGCTACACTCACAACGCCGACCACCCACGCAGCACCACCACCACCAGCATTTGCATCGATAGTAGCATCAGCATCGCCAGCAGCAGCAGCACAAGAAGCAGCAGCAGCAGCAGCAGTAGCAGCAGCCTCGCCCTCACTTCCTGCACGGTTGCTGAAGCCCCTGCAGGCCCAGCCGTCGCTCCCCTCTCCTCTACGCTTCCCACTCTTTCAGACGCCCCAGTTCCTGCTGCTGCGATAAGCAAGGCTATTACAGGCCCCGCCACGGCACCCATAGCTTCTACCCGTCCCACTGTTTCAGACGCCCCAGGTGCTGCTGCTGCTGCGATCATCAGCAAGGCTATTACAGGCCCCGCCACGGCACCCTTAGCTTCTACCCGTCCCACCCTCTCAGAGGTCCCATGTGCTCTCATCAGATTCCCGTCTTTTCAGGGAGGCTCGGAGAACCTGGGCTCAGGTGGGACTTCAGGTGAAAAGAGCAGAGACGTGGGGCTGGACTCAGGGAGTTTTGCAGCTGAAGCGCCAGCGGCGCGGTCAGCAGCAGGTGCGGCGCGAGGAGGTGGGTTGGTGGTAAATGGTGGTGGTGGTGCTGCTGCTGCTCCTAGCGCTGCTGCTGTTCCTAGTGCTGCTGCTGTTCCTTCTGCTGCTGGTATGGGGGAAGCTGACGGTGCCGATGCTGGTGTTTCTCGTGCTAAGAGGAACCGTCAAAGGGGCCTCAGCAGGAGCAGCAGTCTGGACAGAATCGATTTTTCCGACTGGGAAGCCGAACTGGAAGGGGGTGGAGGAGGAAGAGGAGAAGGGTTAGGAGGAGGAGGGTTGGAGGCCAGTAGCAGGGCAGAAACGCCTCCTTCAGTCGCGGCCAATGGTTCTGGTGTAAGAGAAGAGAGCGTTTTGGGACCTCGGGAGGGTGTGGTGGGCAGTGTCGGGAGCAGTGACTTGGGAGTTGCGGCGTCAGGGTGTGGGAAAAGGTACGCGGTAAAGGAGGGTCGAAGCGGTGGTGTGCTGCGTGACGGCGCGGCAGGTGCGGGTGCGTTGACAGGTGCGGGTGCGTTGACAGGGGGGGGTGCGTTGACAGGGGGGGGTGCGTTGACAGGGGGGGGTGCGTTGACAGGGGGGGGTGCGTTGACAGCGGGGGGGTTGCTGGGCGGAGTGATGGCGCGGGCAATGGCGCAGCAGCAGGGCAGAGACGCCGTGAGAGCAGGCATGTTCTTTCGCGCTGAACGGGAGCGCCAGCTGCGCAGGGAGTTGGGGGGTGCGGGGGCTGGGAGGGGTGTGGGCGGAGTGGGGGGTGCGAGGGGCGCGAGGGGAGTGTTCTTTGGGGCCCCCATGCTGCCCGTGGTGCTGGAAGACGTTAGACAGGCTTACACGGGGCGGCCAGAGGGGCAGCAGTCAGGGGGAAATCAAGCAGGGGCGCAGCAGGCGGAAGGGCAGCAGTCAGGGGGAAATCAAGCAGGGGCGCAGCAGGTGAGGGGACACCAGGCGGAGGGGCAGCAGTCAGGGGGACAGCAGGTGGAGAGGCAGCAGGCAGGGGGACAGCAGAGAGAGGGACAGTGGGCTGACTTCCCTGGTGGGATGGCGAGGAGTGAGGTGGAGGGCGGTGCGGGTGGGTGGAAGAAACAGGCGCATGGGCGGAAGTTAGGGCAGGACAAACGGCGAGGGCGGGAGGGAGGCGAGATAGCAGAGAAAAGAGAGAAAGGAGGTGGGAGCAAGGAAGGAGCGGGCGGTAGAGGAGGAGGCGAGAGGAAGGGAGGAGGTGGGAGTAATGGAGTAATGGAAGGGAGCAGACAGAAGGGGCAGAAAGGGCAGAAGGGGCAGAAGGGGCGAAGGGGGGGTGGGGCAGATGGGTTTGAAGAGCTCATGTTGGCCGCAGCTGCTATGCAGGTGGACGCGCGGGATGCAGGGGGCGGGGATGGGGGAAGCGGGGATGGCGGAAGGGGGGATGGCGGAAGGGGGGATGGCGGAAGGGGGGATGGCGGAAGGGGGGATGGGGGAAGCGGGAGAGTGGGATGGGGCGGGGATGGCGGAAGCGGGGATGGCGGAGGAAGTGGTGGGGGAGGGGAGGGGAGAGTGGGAGGGGGCAACAGGGAGATGAAGAAGACTAGAAGCTTCCCGGATATGGGCGCCAAGGTGAGGGACTATGGAGGGATGTCAGTGTAAGGTGTCCAGGTGTCCAGGTGTCCAGGTGTCCAGGTGTCCAGGTGTCCAGGTGTCCAGAATCCCTCCAAGAATCCTCCCTTGCGCCTCACGTGCTACACCTGGAAAGAGGTGACTTTTGAGTCATCCCTCCCGTTCTCCCCTCCCTACCCCTCTCCTCCCGCCCGCCCCTCTGTCACTCCCCACCAGCCCTGCCCTCGGCGCTCGTCGCTGTGTGTCCAGCAGCAAGTAACATTTTTGTTAGAATTCTCAAGAAACAAATTCAGCCTCGGCGCTCGTCGCTGTGTGTGCAGCAGCAAGTAACCTTTGCTCTCGCCCTTCCCCTTCCTCCCCCTTTCACTCCCCTTCCCTTTTCCCCCCCTCTACTCCCCATCAGCCTGTTGAGCAGCCCCACCCTCGGCGCTCGTCGTCGCTGCGTGTGCAGCAACCCTTTGCCCTCGCCCCTCCCCCTCCCCTCCCCTTCCTCTTCCCCTCCCTTCCCCCTCCCCTCTCCCTCACTCCCCATCAGCCCGCTGAGCAGCCCCACCCTCGGCGCTCGTCGTCGCTGCGTGTGCAGCAACCCTTTGCCCTCGCCCCTCCCCCTCCCCTCCCCTTCCTCTTCCCCTCCCTTCCCCCTCCCCTCTCCCTCACTCCCCATCAGCCCGCTGAGCAGCCCCACCCTCGGCGCTCGTCGTCGCTGTGTGTGCAGCAGCAAGAAGCACCCGTGTTCTCCAACCCCTGGGCCCCTGCCACCGGCGAAACCAGCACCACCAAGTTCCTTTCCTCTCGCCCCTCCCTTTCTCCGCTTCCCACCCCCCTCCTTCCCTTCCCCTTACCCTCCCCCTCAGCCTCCTGAGCAGCCCCAACATCGGCGCTCGTCGCCGCTGTGTGTGCAGCAGCAAGAGACACCCGTGTTCTCCAACCCCTGGCTGCTGCCACCAGCAAAACCAGTTTTGAGGCGCCTCAAAAACTCAGCTCCTGATCCCTACCCTCCCCCTCCCGTCCCCCTCCCTGTCACTCCCTCTCAGCCTGCTGAGCAGCCCCACCCTCGGCGCTCGTCGCCGCTGTGTGTGCAGCAAGAGACACCCGTGTTCTCCAACCCCTGGGCCGCTGCCACCGGCGAAACCAGCAGCAGCAGCAGCAGCAGCAGCAGCAGCAGCAGCAGCAGCAGCAGCAGCAGCAGCAGCAGCAGCAGCAGCAGCAGCAGCAGCAGCAGCAGCAGCAACAGCATGGCAGTCGCGAGAGGGAGCAGTGGAAAAGGCACGGCAGCAGGCACGGCAGGCGCACAAGAGCTGGCTTGGAGGCAGCGGAGGGATGGGAACACGGATGGGGAGGGGGAGGGGGACAGGGAGGGGGGTGGGCAGGGAGAGTTGACAGAGGCAGAGATGGCAAGGCGGTGGTTGCAGGAAGCCTTGGTGGGTGATGAGGAGGACGGGGATGGGGAGGGGAATAGAAATGGTGAGAGGGGTGGGCGGGGAGAGGGGGGTGAGCGGGGAGAGGGAGCTGGGAGGGGAGAATTGACAGCGGCTGAGATGGCAAGGCGGCGGTTACAGGAAGCCTTGGGGGGTGATGAGGAGGATGAGGACGACTGGTTGGCGGACGACCTGGGTCTGGGCGCGGCTGTGGTGGCTGCCCGGCGCATTTCCACCAACAGCTGGTCTTCTAGTGCCACGGTGAGGCTTATGGGTGTGATTGTATGGACTGAGGCGAGTGTATGAGGTGACACTGCTCTGAACGAGGTGGCTCTGGTGGCTCTGGTGGCTGCTAGGCGCATCTCCACCAACAGCTGGTCTTCCAGTGCCACGGTGAGTGTTTTGGGTGCGATTGTATGGACTGAGGCGAGTGTATGAGGTGACACTGCTGGAAAAGAGGGGAGGATGGGGACGACTGGCTGGCGGACGACATGGGGCTGGGCGCGGCTGTGGTGGCTGCCCGGCGCATTTCCACCAACAGCTGGTCTTCTAGTGCCACGGTGAGGCTTATGGGTGTGATTGTATGGACTGAGGCGAGTGTATGAGGTGACACTGCTCTGAACGAGGTGGCTCTGGTGGCTCTGGTGGCTGCTAGGCGCATCTCCACCAACAGCTGGTCTTCCAGTGCCACGGTGAGTGTTTTGGGTGCGATTGTATGGACTGAGGCGAGTGTATGAGGTGACACTGCTGGAAAAGAGGGGAGGATGGGGACGACTGGCTGGCGGACGACATGGGGCTGGGTGCGGCTGTGGTGGCTGCCCGGCGCATTTCCACCAACAGCTGGTCCTCTGCCGCTACGGTGAGTGGTTGAGGGAGTGAGCGGGGGAGACGAGGGGGACGGGGACGACTGGTTGGCGGACGACTTGGGGCTGGGCGCGGCTGTGATGGCTGCTAGACGCATTTCCACCAACAGCTGGTCCTCTGCCGCTACGGTGAGTGTTTCTGGTGTGGCTGTACAGAGTGGGACGAGTGTATGAGGTATGACTGTATAGAATGGTGGGAGAGTTTGAGGTGTGTGTGACTGGGGAAGGCGGGAGGATCGGCCAGAGTGGCTGGCGGATGACTTGTGGGGCTAGCTGGGGCTGGCTTTTGAGGCGCCTCAAAAGTCGTCTGGGGCTGGGCGCGGCTATGGTGGCTGCTACAGTCCGGCTATGGGCCCGGCGCATCTCCACCAACAGCTGGTTGGCTCGTGCTACAGTGCAGCGGGTTCGTGCTGTATTGTGGTGGATGGGATGAAGCTGCTTCAGTCAGTAGCAGACAGCTGGAGCTGGACTTGATCCTTCGGAACCAAAATTGGAGTCTTGAACCAAAAGCGGGTTCGTGCTGTATTGTGGTGGATGGGATGAAGCTGCTTTAGTCTTTTGCTCATTCATCTCTCTCCCTCCTTCCCTCCCCACACAGCCGTCGCGCACAAGCATGCAGCTTAACGGCTTCCTCTGCCAGGAAACGGCGGATCTGGCTCAGCGGCTCCGCAGCTCCTTCAACCCGTCCCCTCCCCCCTTCCCTTGTCTTATCCCCCCTGCCCACCAACCCCCACCAGCCCTCCCGCACAAGCACTCAGCTCAACGGCTTCCTCTGCCAGGAGATGGCGGATCTGGCTCAGCGGCTTTGCAGGGACGACCTAGCAACTGGGGGAGGGGCGGACGCGTCAGCAGTAGCAGGAGGAGGAGGAGGGTCAGGGAGCAACAGTAGCAGCAGCAGCAGAAGCATCTTTGATCGGTCGACAGGGTCAGCAGCGGAATGTGCAGCCGTGATGGTGTTAGAGGGGGAGCAGCAGCAGCCGCAGCAGCAGCAACAGCCGCAGCATCAGGAGCAGCAGCAGCAGCAGGTGCAGCAGCAGCAGGTGCAGAGGGGGGCCAGTGCGGACTCGTGCATGGCAGAGCAAGGCCCCCGCCGCTCTTCCTTTTCAGACTTCACGAGCGAGAGAGAAGGGGCGCGGTGGGAGGAGGGCCTCTCAGGGCGCGTGGAGGGTGAAGGGGAGATGCAGAGAAGAAACAGCGACAGCTCTCAGCGGCCTGTGTGGTGGGGGAGACGCCTGGGGAGGGAGGAGCAGGGGCAGGGGCAGGGGCAGGAGCAGGGGCTGGGGCAGGGGCAGGGGGGGAATGCTTTTTGGGAGACAATGAAAGGTGCTCTGCGTGTGCAGCAGCAGCATGGGCGCAGCATGCCTGGCTTGGACTCTCGTCCAGCAACAACGCCTTTTGAGGCGCCTCAAAAGTCGCTGCATGTGCAGCAGCATGGACGCAGCATGTCTGGCTTGGACTCTCGTCCAGCAACAACGTTTGGAACAACGCCCCCTGTAGCAGCACAGCCTTCTTTAGCAGCAACAGAAACACCTTCATTAGGTACAACAACGCCTGATTCCCGCGTTCCCCCTCCCTCTTCCGCCTCCGCCTCTGCCTCTGCCTCGTCTCCAGCCCCCGTAGCCCCCTCGCCTCCCCGCTGCCTGCTCTTCTCCCCTGCTGACCTAGCCACCATCACCGACGGATTCGCCCAGGAGAACTTTCTTGGAAGCGGGGCGTACGGCCCCGTGTATCGCGGCCGGCTGGATCCGACCAATCACAGCACGCCAGCTGGCAGCGAGGAGTCGTTCGAAGGTGCACAGCATGGTAACCAGAGTGGTAACCAGAGTGGTAACCAGCTCAGTAACCAGGGTGGTAACCAGAGTGGTAACAGCAGCACGGAGGGCACTCAAGTGGCAGTGAAGGTGCACCGATCAGGCAGCAAGCAGGAGGCGATACAGGCGTTTGTGAGGGAGGTGGATATTCTCCTGCGCGTGCAGCACACGCACATCGTGCGCCTCGTGGGGCGCTGTGACCATGATTTGTCGCTCGTGTATGAGTTCATGGCTGGAGGGAGTTTGCAGGACCAGCTGTTGCGGGCTAAGAATGGGGTATCTGATACAGTTGCAGCAGCCGGAGCGGCAGGAGCAGCAGCAGCAGCAGCAGCAGCAGCAGCAGCAGCAGCAGCAGCAGCAGCAGAGGGAGCAGCAGCACTTGTAGCAGAACCAGGGGCTGGGGCAGCATCAGCAGCAGCACCCGCTCCCGCACCGGCCTCCAACTTCCCGCTCCCCCTCCACCTCTTGTGGCGGGACCGAATGCGCATCGCAGCAGAAATCGCCTCGGCCTTACTCTGCCTGCACCAGTCCCACCCGCCCATCCTCCACCGCGACCTCAAACCCGACAACATTCTCCTCGACCAATCACGCACCAGCAAGGTCGCTGACGTGGGCCTCTCGTGCGTCGTCCCGTCGTCCAACGTGGTCTTTACGAGAAAAGTCCGCGGCACGATCGGGTTTATCGATCCCGAGGCGGTGGAATCCGGGGAGTTGACGACAAAGTCGGATGTGTATGCGTACGGGGTGGTGCTGATGCTGCTGCTGACCCGCTTCCCTGCTGCTAGAGACCTGCACAGGTATCTGAGCTCGCTGCCGTTTGAGGTTATGCGGAACCCTGCGCGTGCTGCGACTGCAGTTATCGCGGGGATGGGAAGCAGTGGCAGTGCCAGCACCAGCAGCACCAGCAGCACCAGCACCAGCACCAGCACCAGCACCAGCACCTCCACCACCACCAGCAGCAGCAGTGGTAGCAGCAAGAGCGACAGCAGCAGCAGCAGCATGGGGCAGTTGGATCCGTCGGCAGGGGAGTGGGATGTGGGGCTGGCTCACCGGCTGCTGGTGGTGGCGCTCAGGTGCCTGGAGAGGACGTCAGAGCGACGGCCGTTCATGGAAGAGGTGATGGAGGCAGTGGGGGCAGTGGCCAGGGATGCTGCATCCAGAATAGACACATCTCACAAGGTGTCCACATGCGGGATGAGGTAATACATGCAGTGGGCGCTCTGTGGAGCTGAGGTGCTTGGAGAGGACGTCAGCGCGACGGCCGTTCATGGAAGAGGTGATGCATGCCGTGGGGACAGTGGCCAGGGATGCTGCGGCCATGAGGGCCAAAGTGCAGTGAGACAAGGGTGCGGATGTATTCTAGACGAATGTACGGGTCAGCATACAAGAAGGGGACTCGGTTTGGTTTACACACGATTACTGTAAGCGGTTCAGAAAATTTGCTAATAGAATACGTGTTGTAGAGGGAAGGTGTGATGTATTTTGTAATTGATGAGACTCAGAGAAGCATTGTCTGTTCAACCTGATGGTTCAGCTTGTTCACGGGGCCTGAGGCCTGAAAAGCGCAACAGTTTGTGCTAAACTTATCATCATACTTAGCATACTTAATTGAGTGTCGATATTTTTGCCATTGTGTTGTAGGGGGGAATACTGTAGCTTGTCCTGCTGAATTGCACGTTGACTCAGTTTGTTGTGCCTTTGCGCTACGCGCTGACCCAATTATTGACTGGGTCGCACATTTTCAACGTCGATATGTAGAGAGCTTCGTCTCCAAACCTTTACTTGAGGTTCGGAGAACCTTGAAGAGCTGCGGAATAATGATTTAAGCCAATCGTGTAGCTGAACGACGTGACGGACCTACCCAGTCAACAAACCCTTGTTGACCAGTCTCTTTCACTGCGCCTCGACACGAAACTTTCCCCGTTACAACAGCCAGTTTGTTTCTGGTCGATAAATCGCCATCGTTCTGCATGTTCCATCCATCACTAGTCAACAAGCTTCTGGTTCAACAAGCTTCCCAGTCCTCTACTCGAATCCTGATCCATTCAGCTAGTCCTCAGCTCTTCCTGCAGCTAGACACCCAGTCATTCTTTCACCCACAGCGATGGCCGTCACCAGGCTTTTCCTCGCGTGCATTCTCCTCCTCGCAGCGACTTCCGCCTTGGCGCAGCGTGGTCCGCCTGGCGGAAGCCGTCCCGGCGGCCAGGGGCCCGGGGGGCCGCGCGGAGGCCCCGGTGGGTCCAGCGGGGCCGGCGGCGCATCTGGCGGTCCTGGCGGGCCTCCGGGGCCTCCTGGCGGGGAGCCGCGCGGTCCTCCGCTGAACTTGACGGTCGTCGGGAATCCGACGGCCGACGTTGGCGCGCGGTTGGCCAACTGCTCCGCAGATCAGGAAATCCTTGACGGCCGCTTTCACCTCGCCATTTTCAAGTAAGTGATATTCTCCACACGGAATACCGAACCCTCAAGGTTCTGATGGTTTTTTCCTGTCCTACACAGCACTGACAGATGCAAACCTTTTTACCCGCTTGAAGCAGATACGATCGTTGTCTCCCCCCCTACCGTCCCCCCTTTCCCGTCATTTCGCTCATCTCTTTCCTCCTCCCGCACTTTTCTCTTCCTCGCTCGCAGAAACTCCACCGGCAACTACAACCTCGTCGTAGACGCTCTCCTAGTCGGCGCCGCCGGCGGCCCGCCCGACTCGCTCGCGATCGTGCAGGGCGCAGTCTGCGACTCCTCCGCTTCCGCCGCCCTGGCGCTGCCGGTCTCCGCGTCCGACTGGCAGCAGCGCGCGGGATGGTGGCTTCTGCACGCGGAAGCGCGCCTCGACGCGTTCCTCGAAAACGCGGACGCCGCCACCGTCGAGGCGCTCCTCGCCGTCGTCCCGAACGCGACGCTCCCGCAAGGCGGTGGGCGCGGCGGCGGCGGAAGCGGCGCGGGGGGCGCGGGGAAAGGGCAGGGCAGCAGGCGCATGGGGCTGGGGGTGGGGAGGCTGCTCCTCCGCGCGCTGACCTCCGCCAAGCAGGGGGGACGGCAACAGGGAGGCCAGCCGCAGGGAGGGCAGCAGCAGCCGCCGCCTCCAGGTGCTGGGGCGAGCGGCGGAATGAACAGCACAGTGACTGGATACGCGGTGCTGGTTGGAAGCAGCGCGTCGGGGGTGACCTGGGGTGGGCAGCTGATGGGGGTGAAAATGCCCGCCGCTCCTTCCACTGCTTGATTGATCGTTCCGGAAATGAGGCGGATCCACTCAGGCTGATTGCGTCCGTGCCTGGGCGCAGTGGCGAGTCCCGAGTCCCTTCAACATGCGAGATGCGACATGCGAGATGCGACATGCGACATGCGACATGTGGAGCGAATGCGAGCAGGTGACCTGGTTCTGTCGAGTGTTAGGCGCCGCATTAGCAGCAGGCTTTCGGGATCAGGGGTAGGAATGCTGGCAAGCTACGGTACAACGTGCCTTGCCAGTCTTCCTACCCTTGAATTATGGTCGCACGGATTAATAGGTGTTTGCACTGCTGAATAGGTATCCTTTTGAATGTTGTGCTTCTTTTTAATCGATGTTTTGCTGTGTTATCAGCTTTGTTTTGCATAAAGATAGACAAGCGGCTTTTAACGACGTTTCAGTGGCAGCGGCAAAGTGCCGCGAGCATCAAGTGGGAGCATTCAAAAGGAAGACTACCATGGAAGGGAAACAGTTATCACTGTTGTGACGCTGTTTATCGCATTCATATTTATGCGGGAAACACGTAGTTGACAAGAAATATAACATGGTAACTGGCAAGGTTGACGAATAGCGAGTGAGGTAAGACGTCCTAACTCGCTGGGACAAGCTGGCCAGACTACGACGCGACACGATCTTCGCTTGTAGACCGCGATCCGCGACCACCAAAATATAACTACGGCGCGATCGAACGAGATACGCCGCAGGCACGTTATGTTGCCTTGCTTAGTGGTAGGGGGGGGGGCGAGTGGGCGGAAAACGTGCGGGGGGCAGAAGAGGCTGGAAGAGGAGGGCTGAATCTAGTGGCAAGTTCCTCGCCTCTCGTGCCATGCCAGGCGCATCGTTCTCAACCTTATCCGTTCGCGTTCGCTCAATCCGTTCCTGCCATGTGGCAGCCCCAATTGGGTGGAAGCAATCCAAGCACAAGGCTCATGGTGTAAATTATTTATTGGAAGTGATAAAAAAATGAGAATCCAGATGCTACACCTTATAGTACAGCCTTCTTTGCAGATATACTAAGAAAACCCAGTCTGTAATGCACAAACAGAGAGGCCAGTTCAGTACATAGACCTCTCAGGCGTTCAGGAAAGCGCGATGGGGTTTTCTGCCATCCCTGCCTGTCTTGGTTGTAACCTCGTGCAAAAAAAAACATATTCACACATTCCTGGGCTCCATTGAGCCGGAGTCACACTCAACTGCACCGCATGAGCATGTTACAATTCAGTCATTTCTTGGACCGGAAGATTGCCAGCGGACGAGCAGCCTGAAAGCAGATGCAGCAGAACATGGGGAAGAGGCGGTGGAGTAGGGAGGTGGAGAGGAAGGGGGGGGGGGGGGGGGGGAGGGGAGTGTTTAGTTGAACGGGAACCTTTAGTGAATGAGAGAGTAGAGAGTGTGCACGGTGAACAGGGGGACGGGGTTGAGTGATAGTGATCCACTATGGACATGTGGGAAGAGCCCGCTTACAAAAGGATCAGAAAAGAACTGGTATAATCTTTGGCGGGAGGGGTGAGGAAACAGCAGGAACCGTCAAAACGAGAAGAAAAAAGATCACAACAGCAACCAAATCAGGGTGAGGAAGCACTGCAGACATGGTACTGATATCCTGTGCTCCCCTCTGCATTCCTCCCTGCACTCCTGCTCATGCTCCTCCCTGTGCTCTAATGTCCCAGCGCTCTCAAACCGTCCCGTGTGTTGGAAACCAAGTCCATCTCATTCGAGACAACGCCAGTTAGTGCGATATCTTGAGACTGGCCCTGTGACTCCCTCCTACAGGTGTCACAACACCCTCTTCACCTTGAACACCATCAATCCTCGTAAACCATAACACGTAAACCACCACTGGTTTCCCTTTTCTCTTATATCGTTCCACACCCTTCCCACATACACTCAGACCACCAATTCCCAGAAGATCTCAGTGCTGCTCTGCTGCCAGCTGATCTCAGGGACAACCAGAAACCGAAGGCGTTCAGGAAATACAGAAGGGATCACAGGCATACGAGCGACTCAGACAAGGGTACTGCATTCATTGACAAAATTACCAACTACCAAATTTTCCTACCTGCTCGCAGGTCGTTATTCCTTATACAGGACCAGTGTCCAGGAACCCGAACGCGTCCACGGTAACTGAGTACCCCCGGTTGCAAGTTGCAAATGGATGTGACTAGGTGTGGTGGGCAGCATTTACATTTGAGGTTTACCATGGAGGAAAACTGAACCAGCATCATTCCCTCAGGACAGGAAACGACCTTCTCAAAGCGAGCCCCTACATTCTCGGGCACGAGGTGAATTCTCAGCATTGTCGCCTTGACTCCACCCAGGGAATTGCAAAATGGAAGATTGGTCCGCTTGTCAGGCAAACATCCATTCTGCGTAAGGGCACCATATATTTCTTCTGGCTTGATATTCTCCAAAAAACCTGAGCTTATAGCGCGGATGCGGAGAATTCTCACCTTGACGCGCGAGCGCGGAGTGCCGGACTGTTGCAGCGCAACCAGCGTGGGCATCACCCCCTCCTCGAGAATCTCGTCCCGCCGGCTCTCGTCTTCCGCCAGCATCAGCAGCGCCGCAACCGCGTCCTCCTTTCCGCGCGCGGATCCGCTTTCCAGCGCTTCAACCAGCGGCGCAATCCCCCCCGCCACCTGAATCGCAGCGCAACCCGCGGACGTTTTCGCGATATTCACGAGAACCGCCGTGGCTTTCTCCTCCAATCCCGAGCCGTATTCTTGTAACATAGACAGTAACTTCGGAACTACACCCGCGGACATTAGCGAAGCGCGGTTTTTCTCCGATAGGGATAAGTTAAACAAAGCTAAAGCCGCATCTTTTCGTCCGCGAAGCGACCACGGCTGCGGCGAAAGCATCGCCGTCAACCCTGCGATAGCTCCCGGCGTCGATCCAACGAGTAACTTATTCGCATCCGACGAAGACGTTATCGCGAACAGAGCAGCTGCTGCGTTCTCCTGCGCCTGCTGCGAAACCGCCAATCTCACTACACCGATTTCGCTTCCGCCCGCCGCGCCTGGTGTTATCAAATTCCCCCCCCACTGCTGGTCCCTCGCTCTGGATGTCGCAACGCTCGGCGACGAGACGGGCGACGAGCAGCACGACGCGGCGGCGCCACCCGAGAGCACCGCGACGAGCGCGGGAACGACGCCCTGGCCAATCAGCGGCGCGTGCGACGACGACGTCAACGAGAGATTAAGAGTCGCCGTGACCGCGTGCTCCACAGTCGCCTCGTCCTCGCTCCAAAAGAGATTAATCAGCGCGGAAAGCACGCCTCCGCCAGCCGCGACGATGCTCTCCCGGTTCGCGCGCGAGTCCTTCACCATCATACGCAGCTCTTCCGCCGCCTCGCGCTGCCGCTCGCGCACCAGCAACGACTCGCCGTCCGCGGATCCCCGCCCCGCCCCCACGCCCTGCATTTGGCGCACGAGCTCCGGTATGCGCAACCGCGCGTGTTCCTCCTCTTCCGTCCGCACCATCCCCGCTCTGCTTCCGCCCGGCGCGCGCTCCTTCTGGCTCTGGCTCCGCCCGGCCGCGAGGTTTCCGCCGCGACTCAGCATGCGCTCGCCCGCGCCGCCCTCGCTCGGGGCGCCCTCGCGCTCCGGCGGCGCGGTGCCGTGCTGCCGGCCTAGGAGTAACGACCGGCTGTTGGAACTCGAGTCGCAGGTGGACGAGCGCGCGAACGTGAGGTACATGTCTCGCGAAGAGAACCGGCTAACCGACGGGCTGCCGGACGCGTTAGTGACGTAGACGGAAGCGACGGGGTGGTTTGGCGTCATGTACGCTAGAGCGGGATTCATTCCAGGTTGATGATGTCGATTGTGACCGTCCGATTGATCCCCGTCGTGATCCCAGGAGATTAGAGAATGCGACTGCGGCGACCGCGCCGCGTGCTCCGGATAATCGTAGCGCATAGACTGCGAGCCTAGGGAGTGCCGCATGCGATTTGGCAGTCCGCCGCCGCCGCCACTGTCTCTCTCCTGCGACGCCGGAGAGCCAGCGCCATGACCGTGCGACACTTCCGCTGTCTGCGACGCCATGCCCGCCTGCGACGCCATGCCGGCTTGCATCGCAAACTCGACCGACTGCGGCCCCGACCACTCGTCGCGGCGCGGCTGCGGGCCGCTCCACTCGTCCCTGCCGGGGTACTTATTCCAATCGCGCCGCAGACCGGGACTGCCGGTGCTCTTAGCAGGCGTGTAAGCGGGAGATGCGGAGGGGGACTGGGAGGATACCGAGGCCGACACGGGCCAGATAGGGCAACGGGGCGACGCGGACGGGCTCTGCTCGTACGAGCCACTGGACTGTCGGCGCGCGTCGCGGCTGGCATTGCTCGATAAGGATCTTGAAGGAGACGAGGTGGACGGGTCGACGCGGAGAGCGGCTCGGCGGTCCGGTTCGGCGGGGTTGTCTGTGGTAGGGTCGGTACGTTCGTCGATGCCGAGCCTGATGCCGTTGCCGAGGCACCACGCGGAGATGACGCTGCGGAGGGAGTTGTTGGGCACGACGGTGAAATTTTCGAGGTGCTGCCCGGTGACTGGGCACACGCGCTTCCCCTCGCCGAACCACCGCTCGATCTCCGCGCGCTCGAACGTCTGACCGGATGCGATTATAACGGGGTCGGTCATTATGTCGAGGGATAGAGGGCAGAAAAAGTCGCCTGGGACTGAAATTCCCTGCGCGCGAAGATATGAAAGCGGGTAGCGGCGGAAGGAGGGCGGAAAGGCGTCGGAGTCCGTAGTTTGCTGAAGGAGCGACACGAGCTGCTGCTGAGTCAGCATGCCGCGAAGATGATGGTGATTGGTTGGCAACGTGGTGGAGGAAGTCGGGGCAGAAGGGAACGGTGCAGATGGGTGCGGTGGGTGTGGAGAGTGGTGGTTTCTAGTGAGCGGGCTTCGGCTTTGTGCGGCTGCAGGGTTTACCTGTGGTGACGCCATGCATAGACCGGAAATGGACGACGATCAGACAAGGCACGAGAATCCACGACACTC